TCAGTGGGTTTCCTAACTCCCCCACTGAGATTAAGCCTGTCTTAGCACAGGCAGTGGACATAATCACAGTACCTAGTGTCAGCCTATGACCTATCCATGTCCCTGGCCATGTCGGGGATAGCCCACATTGCCCCAGCTGGCATGCCAGCCCATCTCCTGAGACCTCCTACCTGCACTGGGGTCCATGGTGGACAAGACTCTGTACCCTAATGCCAGGTATCCTGTGTGTCCCTCGCTCCTCGAGGACGTGTGTGCCTGTGGACAATATCCGGGAACTCCCCAGCCCTGCGGTCAGTCCTGTGCAGGAGGAACTCAGGACGGAGCACCGTGTACCTGTGTCCTGAGGAGGAGCTGCTGTGAAAGCCACCACTTCTGTGAACCTGCAGGGAGGAGAGCTCTTGTCTCCTCTCCGGGACCGAGTGGGGAAGCAGCCGCGCTTTCCTGTGCGTCTGAGAGCACCCATCTCTCCCTGTGTGATCTAGACCCCACCAGCAGCATCCCAAACCCAGCAAGTGAGCTCACGTGCACACAGAGGAGGCGAGAAAAGGCTCAATTGTCTACTTTCTGGAACAGTGAGGCAAGGATTCCCCCAGGCCACTGTCCTGTTTGCGCTGGGCGGTGTTCTAGGGACAGCGACCATGACCACTCAGCATACACTGCTGAGAAAGTGGCGAGGGACTTGGTGATGTGTGTTATACATGGAGTGGCTAAGTCAGAGGTGGACAGATATCTAAAGGGACTTCACACAGGACGCCACACCACTGAAGGACACCTGAGTGTCAAGGGCAGGCTGGGAAGACCCCAGACCATGGATCCCTTAGTAACTGAGGCCCAAGCCAGCCCCGCCTGGCCCTCCCACAACCAGGACCTGAGAATGGCAATGGCAGTGATTAGGTACTGGGGACAGACCTGCCTGGCCAGGGCACCTGCACATGTGCCATTAGCTGCAGGGCAGCATGTCCATGATGGGGTCCCATGGAAGATGGATGCTTCCAGGGTGACAGAGATTGTCAGCAAAGTCTTGGAGTAGCCAGAAGTTCCTAGAACAGGATATGGCCAGCGCCGTCAGGAAGGAAGTGGAGGGACTGGACACGGATACAGTGAGGGCCTTCCGTTCTTGAAATGCCATCAGGACGGGCAAGGGCTGGCGCAGCACACATGCTTTTGAAGGGTTGCCAACTCCATAGGAAAAGGCACAACAGACAATGATCACTGAAAGAACCTGGGAAGGGGAACTTCGTGTGCCCGAGAAACGGCAACATAGTGCCACAATCCCATAGGAACGCTGGGGAAACTGCAACATAGTGCTACAATCCCATAGGGACGCTGGGGAAGCTGCAACATAGTGCCACAAGTCAGTACTTTGTTGTTCTTGTTATGTGCCTTCATTCACCTGCGACTCATAGCGACCTTATGTACAACAGCCCTAAATCCTGCTCTATCCTGTGCCAATCGCATTGCCTCTGACACACCCATCCCTAGTACCCCAGTCACTGAATCAATCCACCTCATAGAGGGTTTTCCTTCCTGTGCTGTCCCTCCACCCTCCCAAGCATGATGTCCCTCTCCAAGGACCTGTCCCTCCTTGCAGCATGTCCAAAGTATGTCAGACGAAGCTTCAGAATCCTTGCCTCCAAGGAGCGAGCCTGATTTCACCCTCTCTTGGACAAACCTGTCTGTTCTCTTAGCAGTCCATGAAATTTTCAACACCCAGTTCTCTAATCCATAGCAAGTGATTGCAAAGACCATGGCCTGTATCAGGGACACCTTAGTCTCCAGAGAGACACCCTTGCTCTTCAGTACTTTGGAGAGGTCCCTAACAGCAGACTTCCCCATGGCAATACGTATTTTCATTTCCTGGCTGCTGGTACCAGGAGTGTTGACTGGAGCCAAGCAAACTAAAGCTGTTGAACAATCACAATCTCTTCACCATCCATCCTGATGCTACCAATTGGCCCAGTGTGAGAATCTTTGTTTTCTTGATGTTGACCTTCAATCCATATTGAAATGCAACATAGTATCACAGTTCAGTACCATCTGACAGCCAGCCTTGCCTGATTGAAGTCACAGCCCTGTCAGTGGACTCGAAGCTGAGACAGAAGAAATCCCACAGAGTGTGTGCATCCTGAGCCTGACGAAGAACAGAGCTCACCTGGGCTGTCAGAAGGAGCAAGTCACTACAGGAAGACGGCAGCGTGCGTCCCCCAGGACCGTGAGGCCCAGTTTCACTTCCTGTGAGCTAGCCAGCAAGAAGAGCTGTCCTGAGAGCAAGACGCCACACTTTGGGGAGAGAGGTGGGGCCTCACTGGGACAAACTGCTGTTGATGACCATGACAGGCCTGAACTGACATGGACAGATGGCACTGGGCAGTGACCAGCACCAGAGCCTCACCTGTGTGGCCACAAAACTCAGGCTGGGAAATGCCATGTGGCAGGCAGCTTGGTGAAGCCGGATGGTATTGTTTTTCTGCCACTGACTACATGTAACATCCCGTAGGTCCCTGCAAGACAGTGCTGCCAGAGAAGTGGCCCCGGGCACCTTGAAAGCACAGAGGAAGTACAGCCCTGCTGACAGCCACGTGGAACAGCACTCGTAGTGGTCCACGTGTGGGAACATCGATTTCAGGGACTGCAGCCCACACAGTGCAGCTCCCTGACGCTCATGGGTCAGTGGGGAGCCATGTCACCTCTGGTCTCTGGTTTGTGAGGGTCCAGGGAGTGGTGAGCCCTGAGCTGTACCTCTGCCACTATCTGTATTCATCATCCTCCAAAGCTCAAAAGCACATACTCCAAACTCTGATCTTCCTCGCCTCAGAGCTGAACGGGGGAAGATGCTGGGAGCCGCTTGTTCCCCAGGCCTGAGCACAGGCTGAGCTGGTGGGAGCCCAGGCCCCCACAACTGTGACCACACCACCACTGTCTCTATGCCTGACCAGCGCCTCATGTCCCCAGCACACCCCACTTACAGCCTGAGGCCTCATGGAGTCTATCCTGGTGGACAGTGCTGGGGAGCCTGGCCAACCACAAGGCCCAGGAATGAGCCTGGGCCCCTCATGTGCTGAACCAAGGAAGTGGGGCCTCAAGTGGGGCGGGGGCTGTGCAGCTGTGCCTGGGGTGGGATCCAGCGCGGATTCCCAGCCCAGCCGTTCCCACTGCGTCACTGCCTGGCCCCTAATTTGATTAGGAGAACACTTAATCCCCCCGTGCAGTTCTGAGGCAGCCTGTCCTGGGGTGGGCAGGATCTTGTGACTCAGGCCTCTCTACAGACCCCTGGGTGGGCTCTGGGCACCCTGCCCCAAGCACATCCAGCAGATGGAGGTGGTCTGTGAAGACAGACCTATCTCTTTGGTCGTGGTTGGCCTTTCCCCTGTCCTGGATGCTGGTCTCAGACTGTTCCCGCTAGGACTGGAGAGAAAATGGACAGTCCATGAAGGGTTGTAGCGGGTGCCGCCCATCCATACAGGTCCCCTCAGACTGGTGGGGGTGGGGGAACAACCCACTTGGTGACACGTATAGAATCAAGAGGGACCAGTGCAGCCTGGCCCCAAGCCAGCCTCAGCAGCCTTGCCGGGGAGAAGCTGGAGTGTCTGAGAGAAAGTCAGAGACGTGCAAAGTCTAATTAGTGTGTGCGGCTGGTTTTGCTCACAGGTGGAGTGCTGCCGTGTCCTGAGGGGGCCAGTGGCTATGGGACCGAGAGGGCGGCCATCTGGCAGCTGCACAGAGCTTGCCTTGCACAGAGATCCTTGAGAACCTGCCCTCCAAGCCAAGGGTGAGAGACTGAGTCTAGGCTTGAGGCTCTGCCCACAAAAGCACCAGTCTGGTCCATCCCAGCCTGACCCACATAATGGCTGGACACCTCCTGCCATCACATCAGTCTGATCTGAGGTGGGCCAGGGTCAGGCCAGTCTAAGTGTGTCTTGTCTTGGGCTGGAGCACACCCTTCCTGGGAGCTGGGCAGAAAGGGGGTCAGAGGGGGTCCTGGGGACATCCAGGAGCAAAAGTTTGACAGACAAGTAGGTGGGGGTGGGGTTGCATGAGTGACTGCACTCAGATGGTGGGATACATTGTGTGTTTGCTGGCCAGCACTGTGGGGCCCTACTCCTCCGACCCTGGGCAGGTAGGGCTCAGACACAGACTCCAGAACCCCTGCCCCAGGGGTCCTCAGCGGGACCTCCAGAGGGTGTGGGCATAGCACAGGGACATGTGGCAGGATGGTGTCCTTGCCAGCCCTCACTGCACCACTGGCCAGCACACCCCAGGGATGAGCTTGGACCAGCCTTGGGGGACCCTCTAATCAAGGCTTCAGTCCCTTCACCTGGGAGCCTTTGGGAGGCAGGAGAACAAAACCAGACAGCTCTTTATGTTTCTGATTTGGATCTGGAACCGGCTGTGCACAAGTTCCGTGAGATGCTGGGGGATACCAGCTGGACTTGTATAACGGGGATGCAGGGTCCGGGAAAGATGGGCAGCATCCTGTCATGTCCTTATCTCTCCAAAAACTTGTGTCTGTATAAGCAACCTCCAGCCACCCAGCACCACAGGTGGTCTGTGTGATGGGTCCCTGTGATGAAGACATGTAAGAGCCACCCTATTCTGCCTGAGGGTAGGACACACCATTCCTCCTGGCCTCTTAGTGACCACTCAGGTGTAGGACAGCTCACAAATTCAGTGTGGACACTTAAGCGTCACACAGTAGCCATCCAGAAGAGCGCATGGGATAAGGACCACCTGTGCTGTCCCCTCAATCCGCAAGGCCCCATCCTGGACAGACACCTCTAGGAAACAGGAATTACATGCCTCCTCTTACTCGGGGGCAGCTGTCAGTGCCTTTGTGAGAATGAACCATGAGAACAGAGAACAATGCACGCTGGCTTTCTTGTATCACATTCCAGGCTCAGTGGAAACACCCCTTCCCGTCCTTGGAGAGTGGCTAGCACCCAGGCCATTATGTCCCCCATGGACAGGTGGGTGGGCTGACAAAAGCCCTGCCACACACTCACTGTGAGATGTGGGTGATGGGTGCCAGCAGAGTCTCCCCTTCCAGGTCCAGGTCCTCCGCAAAGCTGTTGGTCCGCATGAAGTGGGGCGTGCTCACGTCCAGCAGCATGGGGCTCTTCTTTACTACAGGAGGGAGTACAGCTTGTTAGGACTCTGAGGAGAGCTCATTGGCTGAAGTCACTCAGGGTGGAGGTGCCTCGAGTGCCCCCACGTTCTTGCCTCACCATCCTCAGGCCCAGACACCTTATCATGGTGTACAGTATGCTTGGGTCCCTCAGCTCAGATTCAAGCCTACCTCATACCTGGAGGCATTAAACATGGCACCGCGGTGCCTGAGACCTCTGTGCCTTGTAGTAGTGGCTGGGTCAAAGGATGGGCCCAGGGGCCCAGAACTGACCCTTCTGCTCCCAGGGTCCCTCCTGAGGTTTAGGACAGGAAACATGAAGGAATCAAGATGACACCGGCCATCCTGCCCTACCACTGTCATAGGGACCCAGGACCAACCATGTACTGGAAAAGACAAGATGGCAAGAAGCCTGTAAGACAGAGGACGGGTCACTAACTCAACATCTCATACCCTGAAGGGAGCGCAGGATAGCACTGATGTAGGAGCCCACATCCACAATCCTGATACAGGAATGAAGATGACCACCATGGCTACAATCTGGTCTATTTTCTATCTGGGCATACTTTATGTAAAGTTTACCTTGAAAGAGAATTACCTACTTATTTGACCTATCCTGAAGTACAGTGGGGTCAGTTTATATACCTACAAGGACAACTTATGTACCTACAAGGACAACCAGATGAGTTTATTGTCAGAGATGTAAAAGTTATTTACCAACTCTACAGTCTAAATTGACCAAACATCAAGATATACTGCTAATTATTGGTGGTTGGAATGTGAAAGTTGGGAACAAAGAAGGTGTTTGGGGCGGGGGAATGGATTTGGTGGTGGAAATGACAAGATAGCTCACAAAGGGAAATCAGAGACTCACAATGTTGGTGTCTACCTGATCATATGTTCACTTGTTAGAATTCTGGAAGACCAAACTCATCTTAAATACCAGTGTGTTCTGAACAACGTAAATGGGAACTGAGCATGTGGACCTAGTTGCAAGGAATACTTGATAATAAAGATGACCACATCAGTAGATTTTGGACATGGAACACAGATTACTGATGATCAGATGAATTGTGAGATGACAAAAGATACCATCCACAAAGGAAAGAAGGGGCCTAAGACCCTCAAGATGGCCAAAGTTAGGGGGGAAGGAAAGACCAAAGTGAATATCACATCAGAATTTACAGAACCAAAACAAAGTAAAGACTTGAAGTAAAAGAGATGAACAGAAGCTTTCAAAAGGTAGTGTGAAGACAAAGCAAAGTTCTGAAGTGTGCAGAGCTTGAATTGGGAAACAAAAATGGAAGAACTTGTTAAGCATTTCTCAAATGGAAAGAAGTGAAAAATTTGCAATCCTGAAGGATATGGGTAAAATCCTGAATACTCTGTTTTTAGGTGCCATCAAGTTTGAGTATGACTAATAGCAACCCCATGAACAAAAGATCTGAACTCTATTCTATCCTGTGCCATCTTCACACTTCATGACTCACATAGATAGCAGTCACCCTGTCAATCCACCTGATTGAGGGTCTTCCTCTCCTTGGCCAACTCCATCCTCCCCAGCATCATGTCCTTTTCTAATTAATAGTACCTCTTAATGGCATGCCCAAAGTATGTGAGGTAAAACCTCATCATTCTTGCCTCCAAAGAGCAATCCAGCTGCACCCTCTGCAAGACATTCTTTTATTCTCTTGGCTATCCATGGGATGTTCAGTGTTCTTCACCACCACCCCAGCTTAAAGGCATCAATTCTTTTACTGTCATCCTTTTTTTCCTTGTGTACGTTTGAATCCGGACTGGCACAGGAGGAGATTGCCCCCTCCTTCTCCAGTGGAGCATCTGGTAGATTCTAACCACGCACCTTTGGAATTGCAGCACAACTTCTTGCTACTAGGCCACCAGAGCTCCCTCTGTCATCCTCATTCATTGTCCAGCTCTCAGATGCACAGCAAGTAATTGGAAAGATCCTGGCCTGAATTAGATAGACTCAAGTCCTTAAACTGTCATCATCACTCTTCAGTAATTTGGAGAGGTCCCTAATTGCAGATTTTCCCAGGGCAATGCATCTCCTTATTCCCTGACTGCTGGTACCAAGGGTGTTAATTGTGGATCCCTGCAAGATAAATTGGTTGGCAGTCCTGTGGTAAGAATCTTTGCTTTTTGACACTGAGATGCAATCCATACCTAAGGCTGCATTCCTTGATCTCCTGCAACAAGGCTTCAAGTCCTTAAGTCCTTACTTTCAGCAAGCAAGGTTCTGTGATCTGCATAACGGATGATTTAGAAAGCATTAAAAGAAGATGGAAGACATTATACCAAAATGAATTGGTAGGCACAGAACCATTTCCAGAAGTAGTGTATAATCAAGAAACAATGGTGGTGATGAAAGAAGTTCAAGCTTTATTGAAGGCAGTTAAGTGTCATTGAGTTATAGACAACTCATTGCAACCCTATGAAAGAAACACTTGAATGCTTTTATAACTTTAATCTTTTTTCCAAATTTGTAGAGTTTCCAAAGGCAAGCTATTTCAGAAGTGGATGCCACTCCTGCTTCCAAGCTTGTTTTAAATTGGGAACCTCAGCCAAACACTGTTCACCATGAGTAACCATTATCACATTTGAAACATCAGTGTCACAATGTTTAGCATCACAGCAACCACAGATTACCTCTGTACAGCAAATGGACAGAACAGTGCTATACCACTTAGAAGACTGTTTGACCAAAAAACAATTAAAACCAAGCCTGAGGGTTGCAGATTAAAATCTTCCACCTTTGGCTTGGTAGCATCACTTTCTGTAAAAAAAAAAGCCCCAGGAATTGATGAGATACCAATGGACATGTATCAATCAATAGACAAAATTTTTTTATAATGCTCATCAAACTATGCCAGGAAATTTGAAGGACAGCTATGTGGACAGCTCTTCCAACAAAGTGTGAAAGTTACTGAATTATATAATTAATATCACATACCAGTAAAAAAATGGCTAGAACTGTTAACAGAAAACAGACAGAAATTCTGGTTGGATTTAGAAGTTGTAGTACCAGAAATCCTATTGCTGATGTCAACTGGATCCTGGCTGAAAATAAAGAATACCAGAAGAATGTCTGTTTGTGCTTTATTGATTATGCAAGGGCATTTGACTCTGTGGATCATAAGTTGTGGCTGACATTGAGAAGAATGGGAATCCAGAACACTTAATTGTACTCATGTAAAACCTGTATCTGAACCAAGAGGCTGTGATATGAACAGAACAAAGGAACACAGCATGGTTTGATGAGGAAGACTCATTAGTACTCATGTAAAACCTGTATCTGAACCAAGAGGCTGTGATATGAACAGAACAAAGGAACACAGCATGGTTTGATGAGGAAGACTCATTAGTACTCATGTAAAACCTGTATCTGAACCAAGAGGCTGTGATATGAACAGAACAAAGGAACACAGCATGGTTTGATGAGGAAGACTCATTAGTGACCTGCATTATGCAGGTGATTCAACCTTGTTTGCTGAAAATGATGAGGACCTGTGCACTTACTGCAGATGGTCAAATACTGCAGTCTTCAGGATCTGTTACATCTTAGCATCACTAACATGAAAATCCTACACTACTGGGCCAACAGCATCATGTTAGATGGGGAAATGAGAGAAATTGTCAATGACCTCATCTTGCTTAACTCCATAATCAACACCCTTGTCACCAGCAGCCAGAAAATAAAAAGTTACATTTCATTAGGAAAGTCTGATGTTAGGGACCCCATCAAATTTCTGAAGAGCAAAGATATGTCGGTTTGAAGACTAAGGTGAACCTAATCCAAACCATGACCTTTTAAATTATTTGATATGCATCTGAAAGTTAGACACTGGGTGACAGAAGAATTGATGTCATTGAATTGTGATGTTGGAGAAGTGTGCTGAATAGCCCACAGACTGCCAAAAGAACAAACTGTCTAGAAAAGGTCCAGCTAGAGTGCTCCCTGGGGGCAAGGATAGTGAAACTGGTGGATCTGCTTTTGACATTTAGGAGGAACTAATCCTTGGAAAAAGACATCATGCTTGGGAAGGCTCAGCATAAGAGGGGGGTTAACACAGAAACTGTAATGGTAGGTTTGAGTGTGTCAGATGTATGGACAGGGGAGGTCAGAGTTCCAATCCCTTGTCCTTGGGGTTACTATGCATCATAGTCAACTTGAAGACACTTAGCAAGAGCACATCTGGGTAAAAAGATGATGAGGAAATTCAGTATCCTCAAACAACATGAACTGAGGTCAGGAGGGGAAGATGCCAATGATTGCTCTTCTGCAGGTTCAAGTTGAAGCTAAAGAAAATGAAAACATGTTCACGAGATGAAATATCACCAGAAGCATATTGCACTGGAGTTTAAAGATCATCTCAAGAACAGACTTGACACATTTATCAGTAACTGACGAGGAGACCAATTCTGGAATAGCATCAAGATTATTGTAAAAAAGATAAAAATGGATGTCAAAAATCAGCCTGACATTTATCAGTCTGAACATACTGTAGTTAAAACACTGAAGGAAATGGTAAAATGAAATATTTGACCACAAGAATTCAAAAGATCCACAAACGTAAAGTGATCAGATGTGTAAAGATCTAAGATAGAATACTAAAAGAGAAAACAGTAAAATTCCTCAGGCTTAAAGAACTGAAGAATACAATTCCAGCCTTGATCTGTATAACTGGAGGAATTTACAGGTAGGAAGGATCAAAAGATGGAGGCCAGACGTGGGGAGGGTTTGTAAAACAATGAAAGAATCTTTTCTTTTACTTTTCCATAATTTTTGACTCATGTACTTATAACTTGTTAGTCAAATTTGTGTCTTCTA